TACTGCTTTTACCCAGGGAAAAATAGCAGTTAAATAAACATCGCATCGATATCTATTAGACATCTAAAGCGTAAGACATCGATTCGATGTCTATTCGTCTTTCCACGGCCGTCTAAAGTTAACATCGATAAGACGCCGAAATGACGATCTATTAGATATCTAAATGTGGACCGTTTTTAGGTTGATATAAATCTGAATCTAGATGATAGATAGACGTTTCATATAGACGTCTGATAGACGTCGAATCGACGTAACTTTTCTCTCTGGGTATATAATTGCAACATAAAAAAATATATACAGGAATACGATTATACCATTTTCTTTGAATATAATGATAATCAAGGATGTAGAATGATAAACATGTTTTTCTTGCTAAGAAAACTCTGATTGTTCCCACTTCTGCTAATAGTTAAATCATAGTTAAATCATGTCTGTCTTTGTCGAATTTGAAGAATAATAAAGACAGACATATAATCTAATTGTACGGCTATCGTACAAAAATTGACACAGTTGCATATGGATAAGATTACGCATAATAATTAAATGAAAAAAACCGATAAGCTCGTTTAGCGGATCGACCGATACGGTCCACGCGCGCGATAAAAAACGCGCTAAATCACCACGGCTCCACCACTCAACCTTCAACTTGACTATGCCGAATAAAAAGAGCTGCTTAATAGTTTTGTTTCCAGTTCGCAAAATTCTTTACGATGGCCACTTTCAAAGAAAAAGCGTTGACCAATTTTGTACGTTCCGTTGCAATAGCTGTAGAAAATTTATGCCTCACTCTGTCGGATGAGTTCGATCAAATGCATGAGCTTTCGCGTACCTTGCATCATTTGATGCAAGAACAACACGATTCACGCTCGAAACGAAAGGTACTATTCTGCATCTACGATCGACTAGCGCAACGGACTGTGCTCCTGTGATACTGTGGTGAATTGATCCAACCTTTTTTGTTTCAGAGGATGAAATACGCACCATCGTTCTCAAATGATGAAGGTGAACAACGACCTACACGAGTGGCTCGTCGTGCCACTGCAATGCGTGCAACCGCCGTAATGACGAGTGTGGACCCAGACACCGCCGTAACGATGAATGCGGACACGATGAATGTGGATACTGAGACCGCAACATTAGAAGTTGAGACATCTGACAAATGTGTGGGGTTAGATGAACCGATATCCGTAGTGAGCACTACCGAAGTATGCGTGGGCACCGAGGAGGAGCCCATCTCTATGGTGAACATTACCGAAGTATGCGTGGGCATCGAGGAGGAACCCATATCCGTGGTGAACACTGAAGCAGGTGTGGGTATCGAGGAGGAGCCTATCTCCGTGGTGAACAATGAAGCAGATGTGGGTACCGAGGAGGAGCCGTACGCAACTATCACCGTAGTAAACACCGAACTATCCACATCGAACTGTCCACCGCAACAATCATGTACGAGTATTGAACAATCAACTGCAACTGAGGTCGTCTCGGATACTGCTGTCGGTGTGGTGGATCAGGGGTACACGACGACATCGGCAACATTCGCGCAGCTACCACAGCAGCAGCAGCAGCCGTTACAGCAGCAACAGCAACCGTTACAGCAGCAGCAGCAGCCGTTACAGCAGCAGCAGCAGCCTATCGTGCTGTCGCAAAAGAACAACGCATCGTTATTGTACATAGACGAGCAAGCGTCATTTCCGTGGATTGACGACACATCCTCGTCGTCTACAAGTCAGTCGCTTTTCGCCAAATGTTTGACTCTACGTGAGTTTCAACGCGTTACATTGATATCGATCACCCCGTACATGATGAAATCTAAAGTCATTATCACGGAAAAAGATAAGTACTTGGTTATGCAAAAGATTCAAGAACTGACTATTAACTGCCACAATAACGTCGTTAAGGTTCAAAACCGGGGTCGACTTGCATCAAAGATAAAATCGATATTAGACAAACTCAAATATATCATAGCTCAGCCCGAGTACACCACTTTGAAATTTATCGCGTGTTTATTCATGAATATTAATAAGGAGTTTGCGTTTCTCGAGTTTCAAGGTTCGGATCAAGCACAAAGTAAATTACAAGAGTTCTTATGCGACAAATTGAACTGCCAGTCAAAGTCGTGGAAAAGTTTACATTCTACACATGAAACGGTTGAAAAAATTATCCATCGCCGATCGATCAACGACGTAATAGTGAAACATTACTACTCTAACAACAAATTTATTTATTATCACATACCAACGACATTTCAGGCGATCGTACAATGTGACTCTATGAAAAGACGTTCATCGGGCTGGCAATACAACGTCAGTGTATTGCTGAACAATAAACACAAAGATGTGGGTAGAGTACCGAAAACGGACAATTTGAATAATTCGCATAAAATGTGTTCCGAATCGCATAAAGTTACATTCAAGGAACCGTTCTTACTGCGTATAGAATATCGCGATTTCGACGGGTATCGGTTCACGGGGTCGCGATCTTTGGGTGCTGCAGCTGCGAATAAGAGCATTAGCCATTACAAAGACTTGTTGCCCGACAAGATGTACCAATAAAAAAAATGATAAAAATGTACTTATCTGTAACAGTTATTTTACCTACATCCTGTCACGACGTTTGCACAAGTGACGTCGCTCTGTCACGACACATGCTGTCACGACGCATGTTGTCATCATGTTAACGCACGTTTTGGTTGTGTTAATGATGGAAATATTTGAAAAGAAATAAATATTAAGAATGTTTTATATTTCAAATAACTTATTTTCATATATCTAATATTTTACGTCATTTTTATTTCTGATTATTTAATTTGCAATGCATTAATGTATTCGCGGTTCCTTTGCTTTAAACAATTCCATTTTCTAAGATTAAACTATTTAATATTTATTCCTATGCATTCAAGTATAAGTGCGCATTTTTTACAGTATATGTAACATGAACTATAGATAAATGTGTGAGTGAAACGCAACGGAATGCAACTTTAATATGTGCTCCATTGTGTGTAAGGCCTAAGATCGCCACAACCAATGGACATCTGCGTTTCAAAATTCTACTCGGGCTACGTTCCGAAATTCACTGCTAGTATTGAAATTCTATAATTGTTACGTTCGACATTGTAAATCGAAAACGTCGGATTGCTCTTTAACCTCGAAAATGCACAGAAATGAGAGAGATATGAGATCTTGTATCTTTTTCATTTCTATGCATCTTCGAGATGAAAGAGCAATCCGACGTCTCCGATTCACACCGCGTCCGATGTCCGACGTACGAAGTCCGATATCCAATAAGAGAATAGCTTTCTAATAGAGAATTTAATTCTCCATTGGAAAGCTGTTCTCCTATTGGACATCAGACGTCGCACATCGGACATCGGACGCGGTGTGAATCCTCCAATACAATGCCGAACGCAACTAATATACTAGTATGTGACATGAACTATAGATTTTCAGTACTGGCAGTGAATTTCGGAACGCAGCCTTGGTGAGTAGTGCCCGTATTCATAGGCTGCGTTCCGAAATTCACTGCCAGTACTGAAATTCTATAGTATACGTAACATGAACTATAGATTTTCAGTACTGACAGTGAATTTAGGAACGCAGCCATAGTCAGGTCTTATATTTAAGGCCTCCTTAAGTTCATCTTCAGATGCTCTATGGATCATTTTATTGGCTGTAGAATATCTGAAGATGAATTTAAGGAAGCCTTAAATATAAGGCCTGACTATGAATAGACATAAAACTTATATTTAATTGGCTAATCATGATAAAGAAATCCTAGTTATCTTTGTTCTTATTGGTCAATTAAATGCTACTGTACTTGTCGAGTAGAATTTTGAAACGCAGCCCTGGGGTTACATTCCAAAATGTCCTTTTTAAGGAAATTCTACTTGATGCTCTATAGTATATAATATAGGATGCTTTCCATTTAATAACACAAGTCAACACAGGGTGCTTTTCAATTACTTAACACATCTTGACACATATGTATAGAAATGCACATATGCACAGAAATGCACAAAGTGTAATGGCTCCTGCACACAGGACGCGGTAAGGGTACCATTATATAAAGCGTGGAAACGCGGAAACGCGGAAGACAAAATCTTACTAGATCTCCGCGTTCCGCGAATTGAATCATTTCTTCCCGTACGTTGAAAAAGCGGAAAAGCAGAATGCCCAAAACTTTTCTCTATTGTTTTTTCATCCAAGATACCAAGATATGAATTCCAAAAAATGTCAGGTCCGAACCTATTTGAACACGTCTTAATGGTTAGGTTGAACAACTTGTGATAACTTGTGACAACTTGTGACAATGAATTTTTCCGCATTTGTTCCGCGATTTTATTTCTCCTTATATTACATGGAGCACAATTTGCACGGAAAAGCGTAACGGTTTGGTGATAAATAAACTTCTATATTCATTTTTTAAAATTGTATTAACTTAATTTACTGCAATTTTTACTAATATGTTTATCTTTTCAGCTTATCTGTTGAATACAAGCATTTTAATTAATAAATACCGTTAAAAATTAATATTTTATAATTCCCCATACCGCTTTTCCGCTCAAAATATGTCTCATGTAATATAAAGCAATCAAAACAGACGTGGAACGCGTAGCGAATCTCGTAAGATTTTGTCTTCCGCGTTTCCGCGCTTCATGTAATGGCACCCTAATGTTTGCCGCGTGCCGGAAGTTCGCGCGATAGCCAATTAATATGCTGTTTTCTGTAATAACCTTTTAGCTCTTACGGAAAAACAACATATTGATTGGCTGTCGCGTGGACTTCCGCCACGCGGCAAGCATTACCGCGTCTTGTGTGCAGAAGCCATAACATTGTGCACGATTCAATTGAAACAATGGGTGTTTACGATAATTCAAGTTGGAGTTAGTACGAGTTAGTTTCACTAGAGCCGAAATATGATAGGCACAAGCATCTAGTATTTTTATGATTTATGACAACTCAATGCTATCCGATAAATCGAGTAGAGTAGAGTTAGGATAGTATAGCGTACAGTATATGTATAAGAATTAACAGTATTAAATCACATAGTTTCGTAAAATATATAACAATAATATTACAAAATGATTTATTATATTTATTATATACATTATATTTATTATATTTATTATATAACAATGATTTATTATATTTTAGAAAAATTAGAAGTACTAAATTAAATTATGAAAAGGTATCATGTATTTGTGAAGTATTCAATAATAATAGGTTAATAATAGGTTAGAAGAATTGTTTTCTCCTTTTGGATATTTCACAAATACATGATACCTTTTCATAATTTAATTTAGTGCTTCTAATTTTTCTAAAACAACTCATATAACAACTCATTGTTTCGTAATATTATTGTTATATATTTTACAAAACTATGTTATTTGATACTGTTAATTATTATACATACAGGGTGACCCATTTTAATCTATAATTCCGAATATCTCCTAAACTACCCGTTCTACGGGAAAATAGTTGCGACAAAAAATGTTCAGAGCAGAAGGGTTCACAAACCTGTGTTTTATATGACCTTTGAAGGTCATATAAAAAATTTTCAAAATATCATTTTGAACGTAAAATTTCCTGTTTTTTCTAAATCCGGGGTCAAAAATAGGGGTTCCCATTGAAAAAAAAGACCTTGACCTTCAAATAACCTTGAAAGGTCATCTCAAGGTCAAGGTCATTAGCACAGGTTTGTGAACCCTTCTGCCCTGAACATTTTTTGTCGCAACTATTTTCCCGTAAAACGGGTAGTTTAGGAGATATTCGGAATTATAGATTAAAATGGGTCACCCTGTATATTATCCGCTATACTATTCTAAGGGACGGTTTTTCCAACCTCTTGCTAAGCTAACTAACAGTTAACTCATACGTCTGTCTTTGTTTCTACTTTAAATTAGATGGAAACAGACATAAGATTTAACTGTTAGTTAGCTTAGCAAGAGGTTGGATAAACCGACCCTAACTCTATTCTACTCTACTCGATTTATCAGACAGCATTGAATTGTCATGAATCATGAAAATGCTAGATGCTTGTGACTATCATATTTTTCAACCTTAGTGAAACTAACTCGTACTAACTCCAACTCGAATTATCGTAAACACCCAAGTGTGTACTAATGTTCCAACCTCTTGCTAAGCTAACTAACAGTTAACTCATACGTCTGTCTTTGTTTCTACTTTAAATTAGATAGAAACAGACATAAGATTTAACTGTTAGTTAGCTTAGCAAGAGGTTGGATAAACCGACCCTAACTCTATTCTACTCTACTCGATTTATCAGACAGCATTGAATTGTCATGAATCATGAAAATGCTAGATGCTTGTGACTATCATATTTTTCAACCTTAGTGAAACTAACTCGTACTAACTCCAACTCGAATTATCGTAAACACCCAAGTGTGTACTAATGTTCCAACCTCTTGCTAAGCTAACTAACAGTTAACTCATACGTCTGTCTTTGTTTCTACTTTAAATTAGATAGAAACAGACATAAGA